CTTCGCCTGCCCAGCTGCTCCTTGCGCCCAGAGCGCCACACAGCCTAGCCAAAGGAAGTAAGGCTGCAGGCAGAGCCCCCGCGGTCTCCCCATGGTGCCGGCAGGAAAAGCCCGAGGTGTCGCCGCGAGCTCCGACTTGCTCCTGCGGGAGCCCCGTCGCCTTGGCTTCTTCGCCTGGTCCGGTTTCCCTCCCAAGGCGAGCCCCAGACCGCGCCTTCTGTTGCTGCCGCTGCCGCTGTTGGCGGGCTGAGGAGTTGGCTGGCCTCGTCCCCACCTCAGCAAGAGGTTGTGCGGGTCGTGGGGGCCAAGGGAGTCGCTGCCTTCGCTCCGTGCTGCATCCTCTTCCTCCCCCCCCTTCCCGAGCAAGTGGAAGGCGCGCCGATTTCAAGGGAAACTGTCGAGGAAAAAGGAAGGAGGCGCGCTCCAGCGCTTCCAGGGAAGAAGGAAAAAAAAAGACAAAAAACGGGCGGGTGTGCGCGGAGCTCGCACGCGAAAAGGACTCTTTGAGGCGGGCGGCGAAGAATCCGGAATGCTCCCCTCAAGTGGCGCGGGGCGGCGTTGCCCGCCTCAGGAGTTAAGAAAACGAACGAGGTGCTGGCACGACTAAGGCGAACGAACTCCAGGCAAGTTCAACGAGGCTCCCCAAGCGGGGAAAAGGTTGGGGGGGCAGGAAAAGTCACGGCTCGCTTTCTACGCCGCCGCTACACCGCTCCAGCGGTACGGAAAGGCAGCTCGCCGGTGCGCGGCCCGAAGAATGAGGGGAGGCAGGAAGGAAGGCGGGAGGGCGGAGTGGGGGGGGGGAGAGAAAGAGAGATGGAGGGAGGGCAGCCGCCTGCTTGTCAGTGAGGAGCAGCCGCGCCGCGCCAAACACGTGGGAACGCAGCCCACGGGAAGAAGAACAGCCAGAGAAAGAGGGGAAAAGGCGAGAGGCAGCGTCGGAGGTGAAGGCTGGGAGGGAGGAAGGGAGGAGCGGCCGAAAGCTGCGTGGAAGAAAGCGGGGAGGGAGCGCGGCACTTGTGCGAGGGACGGCCGGCTGGAAGAGACTTGGCAGGGGAGGAGTATTATTAGAAATAGGGTGGCGGGGAGAGGGACGGAGGGAGGGAGGAGGAGCCGGCGAGGCCGGGAATTTGGAGGGGGCGCTGCTGGGAAAGTCCTCCAGAGGAGGAGGAAAAGTTGGGCGTCAATCGAATCAATAAGTCAGTCACCACGGCGCACTGCCGCCCGTTCACCGGCGCCCCCCAAACCCCACCCCAGCTTTGTCGTCGTCGTCGTCTCTCCACAGTTTGCCCCAGAAGGCAAGCTTTCCTCTCCAAATTGGGGCGGTGTGAGAAAACCGAGGAGAAGGCTCCCCTTATCGCAAACCCCCCTCCCCGCCCCTTCGTGGGTTCTTCCCTCGGCTTCCTCGGACAGCGGCACTTGTAATGAAAACTTGTGACGGCGAGAGCCAGAAAAGGTTATCTTTCGGAAAGGGCTATTTTCACCCGCCCCCTCCCTTTGCTAGGTCAGAGGGCCTGAGGTATTTGGTCTGACAGAGATATTCCTGAGGTCGCTGGTCAGGGGGAAGCGGGGAGGGGGGGAGAGGAGGGCGCACACGTCCGTGGCACGCACGAGATCGCTTAATCTCCAGAAACCTGACGGGCGCAGGACGACGCCTGGACTAAAAGGAATCCAGTCCGTAGCCACTCATGTCCACGAGAGCGCTTCAGGCGGTCCGTGTTGGTCAGCGAAGGTTGCAGTGGGGGTTACAGAGGGAAAGAAGCAAGCGGGGATTCCGTGCAATACTCCAGAAAGGTCCATATCTGGAATTCCAGCGGACATTTCTTTCCCCCTCGCTCCGTCCTTGCTGGCCCCAGGTGTCCTGCAGTTCCTTGGGCTACAGGCAGCCTTTTCGTAAGATAAGGGATGCAACTCTCTGGCCACTCGCCATCGGTCGCCAAGGTTCCGTTTCCAGAGAAGCAGCGCCGAGTTGCTTCTCCAATGGAAGGAAGAAGACACTGAATCTTCTACTCTTTTATCAGACTGGAGTTACCAGGATAAACGAAGCCAGCACATGGAAACCTGCTACCTCGAAGAGCATCCTAGGACAGGCTAGCCTTGTGTTTCTTTTACAGCAAGAATGCCATTGTCTATTTCCAAGCAATAATTGCAAGCTGCAAATTCCCAGAAGATAGTCTGATCAAGTGACCAATTCATGTTAACCTACCTTCCCAAGAAAGAAGAGGGTTATGGTGGGAGAGCAACCCTAATTGGCCCAGCTGAAAGTTTTGTTGTTGTTTGGTACCAACAAAAAGACATATTTAAAAACATGAAACTGTCAGTCATTGCCAAAAAAAAAACCCAAACCCAATGGTGATGAGTAGAGATAATATCAATATTATCTGTAACAACTCACATCTACACCAAGCAAACAAATGTGTATCAGGGACACTTAATTAAGAACTATGTAGACTGCAATAAAGGAATAAAGCCAAGAATTGAAATGGCTAGAAAAACTTTTATTAAGTTGAAGAAAATATTGTGTAACAGTTTAATATATCTTTGAGACTAAAGATATTAAAGTGTTGTTGTTGTTTAGTCGTGGCCGACTCTTCATGACCCCATGGACCAGAGCACGCCAGGCTCTCCTGTCTTCCACTGCCTCCTGGAGTTGGGTCAAATTCATGTTGGTGGCTTTGATGACACTGTCCAACCATCTTATATTCTGTTGTCCCCTTCTCCTCTTGCCTTCACACTGTCCTAACATCAGGGGCTTTTCCAGGGAGTGTTACATATTGTCAACCCACTATATGGGTATGAGGTTTGGCTTTTGAAAAGGAGATGCTCAAGAGAATAAATACTTTTGAAATGTGGATGTACAGAAGAGGCCTTCACATACCATGGACTGACAGAATAAAGAATAAAGAGGTACTTCATCAAATAGAAAAATGGAGTTGATTATTAAGAAACACAAGCTGCCATATCTTGGGCACATAATTCATTATGGTAAATCTAATATACTGCAGTAAGTACATAATTGAAGTGAAGATCAAAGGTAAATGCAGAAGAGGTAGAACATTAATTTTGTTGATGACTAACCCAGAGACTGGCTGGACCTTAATAAAGAATAACTAATTCACATAGTGTGAGAGGGGTGGATATTCCAAGATGGTAGTCAACTTCATCAACTGAGACGCACCAGAGAGAGAGAGAGAAAAAAAAAAAGTTTAATGGATCTCTATCTATGAGGGGTGATTAGCTCTACCAGAAGTCTTAATTGAGCACTTCAATTAAATAGCTGTTTTCCCGATCTTTATTTCCACTTTCTAATTTCCATTCAGAATATATTTGTTAGACCAGTGACTGAACTGCAGAGAACAACAGAGGCCTGGTCACTAGCATCTAGATGCTGAATGATGCATATTTTTGCTTAATTGGAGTATGTGGGGAAAGTCAAGCTCAATAATAATGATGCTTCCCAAACAAGGAGATGTGCTACAAAAAAATCTTATTATCACGTACATAATAGTAGTATAATTCTGAGAATACAGATGAGCCCTAGTCCAAATTAAGTGCTGCTTGCAAAAGTAATAAAGTCATAATGTGGTGTTTTCAAGGAGCTGTGTGAACTAGTCTAATTGAGCCCAACCACGCCAAGGGTCAATCTTTAAGTGATGCATAAGTGTGGAATAATCTAGACAGATTCCACACTGGCACTTTAATTCGAAGTGACATACTTGCATTGCATATGAACCCTGGCACAGAAGAGATACCTCATAGATATAAACAAGAGTTTAGTGGCTTGCACATTAAATATAAATGCTTTTTTAAAAAAATTACCATGTCAGCTTAATCAAATTCACCCTCACGATAATTACTTAGGTCTAGTTTGGGCAGGCTTCAGCTTTTGCACAACTCTTTCAATTTTTCACTAGAGTCCCAAGGCCCATCGACTATGGATGAAGATTATACGTGGCATCTAAGGAGGATGGGGCCAAATGAAAAATGTTGTCTTCAGAATGGAGCCAATTATTTCGTGAGCCCCACTTGGGAAGTCCTGTATAGGCAGTCACAGATCTGTATCTAGAAATAATGGCATTTATATATGCTAATAACTTGACGGAGGAGAAATAAGCTTTTGATTGTTGCTGCCTGTTGTTAAGTAGCTGGAAGTCAGAAACAGAACTTGATCTACTGAGAATCATCCAGCTTAGATTACCCCCTCAAAGTAATCTAAGCAAGCCAAAAAAGGAAATACTTAGGGGAGTGGGAAACCAGAAGGGAGCATAATATCAGGCATAAAAAATTAAACACTCAAACACTCCCTAGTATGTATACATAGCGAAGAACAGAACTCAGTTCTTGCACTACTCTGTAAAAGTTAGTGTATAACGAAATACGAAGTTCCAGGTTTGTTCCAGGTTCTTCAGTGATCTTTTTGGAATTGCCAAATGATATTGCCCATGCATTACTTTATAAAAGACTCTTTCTCAGCACCTTTTTCTCCCTTCCAAAGCCTTTGTTTAGTTTTTCAGTAGCTTGATAGGCAAACGCAGGTTCAGCAGTGAAGTCAGTATTGTGACTAGGGTGGAGTAACAGGCTTTGTTCTAGGGTACTAAAATGAAGAGGACATCTGAATCTAGAGGTGA